AAATACATATCGGCATATTGAAAGTACATAGAACGTAGCTAACAGAATTGTGTTGCCTCGTGTGATGTGTTTAATAAGGATAATACCATGGTCGGTGAGAGATTCAAATACACGCACGTGTGGTTGTTTACATAACGGCTCTCCTATTTCCAATTGAGTGTTTTCACGTGCGAATTGCGGGAATGTTTTGGAGATTCTACATGCGCTTCCGACTTTTTTAGTTAATTTAATTATTCATAGCCATGAGTTGAAAACAAACTATTTTGTATCATTACTATCATTTTTTGCGTACACTAATTCATGATAGAACTCTCCACAAATTCTCCAGTTCGAGATATATGTTAAAGTTATTTTTGTGTATATATTTTCTCTTATTACAGCTAAATGTTATTTTAATTGCCTATTCAGGAAGAAAAAGAACATGTGCGATTCATAAGCCGTATTTGGGAATATATAGTGAACGGTTGGTAATAATTACATAAGAACGTGTATTCAACAAATCATCACTATCATTATTTATTTAACAGGTTAAAATCTTCTGTAATGTTTATCACTGTTGGAATTGAGTTGTCGTTCTTGATTAAAGTAGTTCTGATGTTCATACGCCAATATGAAATACTTCCATAGGGACACGACATTCGTAAATATACTTGAAGTGTCTGGGGAAAAAATATGCAAGCCGAAATGAAAATTATTTCAACTAACTATTTTGACTCAAGTTCTTCTCCATTCGTGACCAACTCGTGTTATTCCGGGACAAGCCGAATAGCGACCCGTGCCCCTCTGGGAGGATTTCATATTGGTTTAGGAACATCAGAACTACTTCAAACAGGAACGATAACTCTATTCCTGTTTGATTCCAGTACATATCACCAAAGTACTCATACATTGTATTGCTGTTTTTGTTTTTCCTTGAATATTTTAAAGAATGAAACTTGATACAACTAAAAGAAGGTGAATAACATATTCTGACGTAATTATGACCAGTTGATCACCTCCATTTATATTTCTGAAAAGTGTTTGATAATAACAAATGGGATTTGTTATATTGAATATGCAAAATAAAAAAATAAAAAACTTAGCTACATTAAATCCCAAAGCAGAAACTCATAAAGTGACTTTGAAATATTTCTCAACCTAAACATATGTGTAACCTTGCTGTCATACCCCAAGTGGGATTTTAAATGAATACGCTGAAAAATATGTGAATGACAAAACAAAGGTCAGACTAAAGTATTCCAAGCGAATTGAAATATATGGCCGGTGTTAAAGATTAAAGATAAGTTACATACAGATGTAATATTGTTTTGAAACTCGTAGCGATATATAATTACATTTCCTAAAACTGTTGGAAGCTCACGTACAATCGCCACGACAAGCCCACAAGATCGTCAGAAATACACTCGGTTGGACCAGTGGGAGCCGTTATGTCAACAAACGCACGTGCGTGTATTTGAATCTCTCACCGTCAATCGCATGATTTTTATTCAAAACTTCACATTAGACAGCACAATTCTGTTAGCTACGCTCTCAGTATTTTCGATATGACGATGTATATTTTTCATGATTTTTTAAACAATAACATAATGCCATAAACGATTTAAGTAGTCGGGATTATTTGACTGAAAAAGCACGGCAGTCATTACGCGCGCTCTGATTGGTTTGTCGTATTTTCGCACATAACAAGCATCGTTAGGGGGACGAGTCTTCTTGAAGGTTACGGAAAGGGGCGAGTGGTGACGAATGCCGGATGGCATAAAAAGGCGAGTAGTTACGAATGTTTCTTCTATACATACGCGCATTCTGATTGGCTGGGGGAATATTTATCCTGGACATGGCTACGAGAGGAGTACGAGGGGTCTTTCAGGTTACGGAAAGCGGCGAGTAGCAACGAATGAGGGGTACGAGTCGCTATTCGGCGTGTCCCAGAAAAACACGAATGGTGGTCACGTGACGATCCTCTTAAACAGTCTCTGGGGCCAGCAGACACGATGTCGGACACTGCTTTGACTGAAGCATCGATATCTGATCATGATATCTTCAACCAGATTTACGTACATATCTTCACCACGTGGAGTATTTGGGCGAAATGCCAACCTCCCCAGCTGGCTTCAAAACAATCGTCTGGTCGCCTGAAATGGGAGTACTCTCACTTACAATACGTTCCATTTTAAGGCGCTTCAGGTGATCCCTCATAACTTCAGACAACAAGGTCCTTCACTTCTTATAATCCTCTTATGATCCTAATGATCCACGATGTATTTCAATGGCTTTCATCGTCAGTGGTGTGGACAAGAATCAGCCGTTATCATACTTCTAAATTCTTAATAAAATGTGTTTGGTAGGACTTGTTTTTGCAATGACGTTTTGTTTTGTTTTTTCAATTTAAGGCCAGATTAGTTCTTGACGTTCGTCTATAAATGAATTTGTTCATTTCAGGGGAGTGAATGTTTGTATACTAGTACAAAAATAGTATGCAAGAAGATAGATTACCTAAAACGTCATATTACATGCTTGTTCATTTGGACAACATTGGTAAAGTGACGTGGGCATCTCATAAAAGAAAACTTCTGTTTTCACATGGTTATGGTGCTGTATGGTTAAGCCAGTCAGTTGGTGATGCAAGCTTGTTTTTAGCTCAGTTTCGTGAAAGAAATCTTAATATGTTTAATCAAGAATAACATTCAGTAAGAGATGATAGTTCACGGAATGACTCTTATAGAATATACAAATCATTACTCCAACGAGAGAAATATGTATCGTTTTTAACATCAAAGAAATTAAGATATCCATTTATAGGCTTGATTAACATAATAGTAAACGAAGAAGGGTGTTTATATTGAAAGATGCAAGAGAATGTGCCCTCTGTGTAATTTAGATGTGGAAAATGAAATTCATTTTTTATTTGTATGTCCTTTTTATAAAGATTTGCGTACGAAATATACAGCTGAATATTATCTATGTAAGCCACTTTCATCAACTCACCAGCAAGTAATAATAAAGCTGTCGTACTATATTAATTATGCTCTGATTAAACGTAACAATTTGATATAAAGTTTTGTAGATCTATCATATTTCATTACTTGTTACGTAATTTACTGCCTGTAACATGATTCGCTGTTTGGATCACTAATTACTACTTATTGCAATATATGTATAATGTATATGTATAACTCCAATGTATATGGGCCGGAGGCCTTTTGTACAATGAACACCTTTGACTTTTGATAGTGGAAGTTGTCAGTTCTAGAAGAACAAGGAAACCTTACAAATTAGCAAAGGTATATCCTATTTGATGAACACGTAACAACAAACTACTATAGTGAGTGACATGTATTTTATTAGGACATCAGCAAATGATTGATTTTAAGAACATTGAAAAACAAATAGAGCACATTCCTCGATTCCTCAATTTTGATAACTCGAATCAAAAGATGTCATCAACCAAATTTTCGACAACCTCAATATATTTGGAATATTTGTGCGTAACGCCTACCTCCCCAGTTGGCTTAGTCAGATATGGTGATTACCTTCAGTTGTTGGCAGTCTATAGCATGTTTTTATATTGTCTTGTCATGTATAGTTAAACTGTTTTAAATTTAATTACTAGTTTTAGACATATACCTGTGATAAACCTACATGTACTTGTTTTACTGTCCTTCGTTGGCAGGTGTTTTATAATTTACCTTTAATTATCATTACACTATAACTTGATATTGTCACGATATGGCTGAAATACTGCCGATGTGACATAAAATTTTAGTTGGTCGTCTTCGCACCTGAAATGGGAGTACTCTCCATTTCCATTTCCATTTTAAGGCGCTTCAGGTGGCTTAAACCTGACTATATGGTTATTAAAAGCAAAATTTCAACTGTAACATATATTCATGAAAGGTCCTTGTTTTTTTAATCACTAGATCATCTCAGTCACAAGGGACCAGAGCCACTGCAGTCCACATTGGAACACGTTTCATGCTCATGGACTTCACCAAAGTGGTAAAGGTCTGAGACATGCATCACTTCAGGCTTTCCTCCTGCACAAAGTAACACAGCATGATATAACTGCAATATTGTTGACAGGTCCTCTTAAATCCACCCCTTCTTCTTTTCTCAGGTTTTGAACCCAGTACAATAGGTCCTTTAAGGACATTTTAAGGACTAGAAGTCCTGAGAGGTCAGAAGCAAAACATCTATCAGAGGACCTCGGGTCACCTTCATTGGAATATACTATCAACTCCAGGACAAGTCCTTTTGTGCTTCAGGTAGGTATCCCAGGTCTAGTTCCAGATGACTGTTCAAACACAGGAGTCCATCTGTGGATCCACTACACTTTATTTCTCGATACAGCCTTACATCAACGGCCAGGCAGAATCCAGGTGCTTGCTCTCCGAGGGTCAAATGCAGATTGATACAAAGAGTTCCTAAGAGTCAAATCCTGGTCAGACTGTGCCATGTCACATGTATGGTAAGCCTGCGCTATTCCGCACCTCATCCACAATATCATTCTTCTGGGGCCAATCGGCCATTTTCTAACTTTAGTTATGGACAGCAGACTTGCAAAAGTCCAATGTGAGATGCTCGAGGGAAGAGTGTCCCCCATACACACAAGCATCTGTTCTGGAACTCAAGCACGACGTAAAACCCAATTTCACCTCACCTCACCTCACACAAGTACAGTCTTCGGAATCTTAACAAAGACAAAGCAAAGCAATACAATTATATAATTGTTCCACAATGAATAACAACTGAACAATAAACAATCAAAAACAATATCCCTCGGTGAATATTCTATGAAATATTCCATTTGCAATTAGTAAGCGCCATGTACAGCTTCCAACTTCCATTTGAGTCATCACGACTTTGACATAGCAATATTTCATATCGATGAACTACCCAAAATGAATATGTATCAAAGGTACACTTTTATATGCTGGTGAAAAAGCCAGTGCTCTTAAATAAATCAAATACAAACAAAAAACACTCTTTGCTTGTTGATTGCATTAGAATGTTATGGCTGCCTTGATCTTCTGCCAGAACTCTTCTCTGTCCACTTCGTCTGCTGGGTATTTGATGTAGGTACCATGCTCAATTTCATCTAAGACGTCTCTGCTGATCCTTCTGGTATCAGGTACATCAATGAGCCATACTACACAAAAGATATCTCTCCCAGAGTGGATGCTCTCAAATTTGGCCATGTGGACCTCATACTCACACCAGGAACTCTCAAGGAAGTTCGGAGTTAATAGGATGATAGTCTTCCTGCTCGACTGTATTGCGTTTACTACGTTGGCAGTGATTGGCTCACCAACCATGAAGTCCCTCTGGTGTATACAGAGTCTTAATCCAAATCTCTTCTCCAGGATGTTCTGCATGTCCTGCACAACAAACTCCCTGTCCTCTTCTGCATATGAGACAAAAGCGTCGTATATGAAGTGTTCTTCTTCACCCATCTGTCTCTGGTAACCTCTGTACTTTCTTCTGGTTGTGTAGTACAAATATCTCAGCTTCCATCGGTAGCGATATATGACGCCACCTACTACCGCTGACAGAAACAAAATGAGTCCCGCGGCTGCTCCAAATATCACTGGAATGACAGCCTTGCATCTCTCTTGAAGATCAAGTACAAGGTTGTTAAGATTGTCCAAAGACGTCTCGGTTCCATCTGATAGGCTGCATGCTGTATCAGATGCTTCATCTATGACTACATGTTGTTTCAACATCCACTCCAAGTCATCCAGACTATCGCATGTACACTTAAGGTTGTTGCCCCTCATTCTGATGTGAAATTTGTCTTTCCTTTCCTTCATAATTACAGCAATCTGATTCCGAAGACGTATTGGAACAGCTTCAAATCTGTTGTAGGACAAATCTAATATCGACAAATGTTTCATTTGATGTATGTTAACATCCCAAGAACTAATCATATTCCAGCTCAAATCAAGGACTTTCAGTTTACCCATGCTTGCAAAAATCGAAGAGGGCAAATAACGAATCATATTTGAAGAAATTCTTAATGTTTCTACATTGCTTTGATTCATAAATATCTCCCCTTTTGTGTCATTTTCAAGGGATTCAGCGAGGTAATTCTCGCTGATATTCAATATTTGTAGACCACTTGCATGCTCCAGAAACGTTGGGGCAATGAATTTGCAAAAGTTGTTTGATAGATCCAGAAATTTAAGGTTTTCAGTCTGATAAACTGGGCCTACCCATTTTGTTAAAATGTTGGATGATAAATCAAGAGTTTGCAATTTATTTGGCCAAAAAGAAAAGTTCAAAATTTCTCCTTGGATATTCCTGTGACTGGCATTAACAAATATTACGTTTGGAGCAAGGGGTATTTTAAGAGTCATTGAATAATGAATCTCGTCCTTCGTTTGTTTCCTCCGGATTCCATTTGGATCTGAGAATAATTGTTTGCTTTTCGATTGTGACATTTCCACCTCAGTGACACCACCCTTGTAGTGTCTTTGAAACGTAATCTTGCGTTTAACTGTTTCATCTGTTCCATCCACTGAAGATCTTCTTTGGCTTCTTGGAACAGTGCTCACGACAATGTTTCTCTCTGGATACAAACTGAAAACTTTATTCTGATCATACTCTCTGTCAACACATGAACCATGGGTTACTATAATTCCCGGTAAAGGTCCTTTGAATGTATAAGGGTTATTGATATAGAGTTTACGAAGACTAACCAACTGATCTGTAGCAAATGAGTAAGCTCCAAGCTGGAGATGGTTATTTTTCAAGGAGATGACTTCAACTGAAGGTAAAACATGAAAAACAGTGTCTTCTATGTTCTCAATTCTGTTGCAGTCAAGATACATCTCTTTTACATGTATTTTGGTGAAGAAACGGACATGTGTCCTCCGTATCTGAACTCCGATGGCATAACTGCTTGTGATTTTATTCAGCCTAAGTACTCTTAACGTCGAGTTCACAAGGCCAAACATAGAGTCACCAAACGTCTTAAACCCTAGATGATCATTTTCTGACATGTCTAAAGTGTCAATGTTTCTCAAAGGAAGAAACGAACCAACATCAATATCTGATATTTTACATTTACTTATATCTAGGTTTCTAAGGTGAGGTGTATCGAGAAATGACTCATTTAACAAACGATTGATGGAGCAATGTCCCCTTCGGCCTGATATGTTCAGTGTTGTAAGGTTCTTTAATCTGGCAAAGCCTTGTCCAAAGGTGCAGTTCTCGAGTCCATCCGCCACCAACGTCTGCAGAGAGACAAGATCTCCAAAGCTGTCATCAGGATACGATGAATTCGTGACCAATACGTTACTACTTATGTCGAGGATTTCAAGCTTCTCCAGATATTTAAATGTTCCTTTCGGGTATGTGGCCTTCTCCAGAGTGAGTTGGTTGCCGTGGAGATTTAGACTGAGCAATGTTACAACACCTTTGAAGCTATCATTCAAACTGCTAATGTTATTCTTCGACAAATCCAGATGTTTTAAATGGGAGAATAGGTGTAAGTCATCGGGGAGTTTGGTCAAGAGGTTATTCGTCATATTCAATTGTGTGACATTTGTAGGAAGAGAGTATGGTATGTTGTGTAAATGTTTATTTGAACAATCTGCGTGGATATCCCCGTCAGTTGTCCTGGTGCAGTGGCATGGGGAACATGGTATCTTCTGAAGGCGTGCTTCTGTCTCTCTGTGACGTGTGCTGCCCCCAATGATCAGAATGGCGAATATCACTGCAAATAAGCAAACACCATTAAACATAATATCCATCAAAGATGTTGTTAGTACTGCGTGTTAGGACTACGTGTTAAAGGATACTTCTCAACTGACCCTCTGCGGTTACACAACGTATTATTGTGAGCTATTCTCAGGCTCCTTTGAGCTCAGTTCTCAGTTCCCACTGCCAGATTGCGTTGGTGTATATGTACATGTATATAGCTTAAGATCTGACAAGGTTGCCCCTATTCTTGAAGACGTTATAAGGCAACACCACATAGTATCTCGTCTACAACCTACATGCCTCTGCTGGCTGTACGAATGAAATGAGATGTCATTCCTGAATATCGACTCCCGCCCCTCTGATAGGATTTCATATTGGCGCATGAACATCAGAACCACTTTAAACAAGAACGATAACTCTATTCTTGTTTGTTTCCTGTGGTACTTAATATCACCGAGCACCCGTACATTGTATATTGCTGTTTTTGTTTTTATTTATTTCAAAGAATTAAACCTCTTTGAAATAACTAAAAGAAGGAGAAAAACATACCAGCTGTTCACCTTATATATTTCTAAATAGGGTTTCAGAATAACAAATGGGATTTGTTTTATTGAATGTGTATTTGTTATATTTAGGAGTACACTTTCTTAGTAAAGTACAAATTCTTGTACTTTTTTGGGTTGAGTCCCATCCGGGAATCAAACCCACACCCTCAGAGTCAGACAACTAATCGCCAGCACACAAAGTCAGACGTCTAACCCGCTCAGCCAACGCTACTTCCACGAAAATGAAAGTCGGACAACTGGTAGTTTAGAGAAATGAGAGAATTTGAGAAATGTAAATTTTTTATGGCTCCAACGGCCGAAAGATATGATTACACAATGCCATTTTTAGAAAGTTGTCAAATGTAACATTTGTTATATTTGGGATATTTGTGTGCTGGCGATAAAGTGCCTGACGGTTGGGGTTCGAATCCCGGACGGGATTCAACCCAGTTTGTACTTTACAAAGAAAGTGTAATCCCAAATATAAGATATGTTACATCTGACCACTTTCTAAAAATGGCATTGTGGTATCAATGTTTTTCACTACATTAAATACCAAAGTAGATACTCAAAAAGGACTATATAATATTTCTCAAACAGTCAGACTAAGAGACTGTGAAACATACGCCCCAGGGATGTGAAACATACGCCCAAAAGAACGACCAATTGACTGTTTGTACAGTAATTAACGCTCTCTAAACTGGCCTCCGGTATCTCGGCTCTCTTGTTGATTGGCTGATTGGCTGATTGGCTGAACGTGTATTAACAACAAAGTGGATTACCATCGGCATTAAGCTCATTGATGTTGCCTGCTAAAGGAGTATGGATAAGGATTGGGCCTTAGTAGGTGAGGTAAATTGGTTAGTGACACGTGTCACTTGTATTATAAATTAATTGTCGTGTCACAATTTGTCAGTTGCTCATTGTTTCAAGTCAAGCGGGCTAGATTTGAATTATCAAAAAGAAAAAAAATCAGATTGGAATTAACTCTTGAACAGAATATTCAGCTGATAAAAGATTTTGATGCAATTCCTCGGCCTACTCAAAAAGATCTTGCACTTAAGTACCAAATTGGCAGGCAAACAATTTCGGACATTTTGAAAGAGCGTCAAGTGTAAGAAACTAGATTCGAAGAAAACATCACTTCAAGAAAAAAACGTGTGAATGAAAACAGTAAATTTGACAAAATTAACACACTGAAGCAAGATTGGTTTTTGACTGCCCGCAGTGAAGACATGCCCATTTCTGGCCCTATTTTGAAAGAGAAACTATTCAGTTTGGTTCAGAATTAAATGTCATAGGGTTTTATGGCAAACGGAAGATCATTCACAGGTTGAAACGGGAAAAGTTCTCCACACCGGCACGTCCTCTATACCGGCAGTTTTTGCCAGTCACAACAAATGCCGGTATAGAGAGCTTCCACTGTATATATATAAATATATATATATATATACATACTATATGTATGTATGTGTGTGTATATATATACATATAGATAGATAGATAGATAGATAGAAAGATAGATATAATATCATTGTTTTGAAACGCGAAGCACTCGTACAATCTCCAAAACAAACCCGCAAGATCGTCAGAAACGGATCGTCAGGACCCATGAGAGCAGTTATCTAAAGAAACGCACGTGCATGTATTTGAGTTTCTCCCCGTCCATGACATTATCCTTACTAAAAACTACACATGAGGCAAAACAATTCTGCTACGTTCTTTGTACTTTCAAGATGACGATATATTGTTTTTCGTGATTTTTGAACAAAGTCGCAATGCCACAAACGGTTGTAGTACTTGGGATTAATTCGCGTTCTGATTGGTTTGTCGTATTTTCGCACGTAACAAGCATCGAGACGAGTCTTCTTGGAGTTTACGGAAAGGGGCGAGTGGTGACGAATGATGAGGTATCTACTGGCTTGTCACACCCGGGTTCGATTCCCCATATGGGTAAAATGTGTGAAGTCCATTTCTAGCGATATTGCTGGAATATTGCTGAGTGTTGGGTTAAACAATATACCAAACAGCCAACCAACACTTTTCGGCTAAATCTGCATCTTGCTAACTAGATATAGGTTGACTGCGATACATTGAACTACGACAGACAGGATCGTTGGTTGTCTGTTCCAGACTGGGATATTTTCAGTTTGGCGTCGTGTAACTGGAATATTGCTACATAATACTTTTGTGGACACAGCCATCGATATCATTCGTCACCACTCGCCCCTTTCCGTACCTCGCTATTCGGCTTGTCCCGGAATAACACGAGTTGGTCACGAATGATCGATGTAGGTGATAACCAGACTGACTCGCTCACTCACATCCGAACACGAGAAAACATTTGTCCTAGTCATGATGATACAACTCAAATGCTTTCTGTTGTTTCCCTCGTAAGGATCGGTTGGGTGGCCTAGTGGTTAAAGCGTTCGCTCCTCACGCCGAAGACCCGGGTTCGATTCGGCACATGGGTACAATGTGTGAACCCAATTTCTTGAGTCCACGGCCGTGATATTGCTGGAATGTTGCTAAAAGAGGCGTAAGACTAAACTCATCCATCCATCGTAAGATATTTGCCAGAGGTTTTTCACTGGGTAGATTTAACTGCGATAAATTTGTAAATTGTCAAGGAAGCATGCCTATGGCCCAGATAGTCAGGATATCTTTTGATATTATTCATGAGCGAGTGGATAACTTTTCCTCCCACAAAGGCTTGTTCACTTTCACTCTAAGTTTCTGTGTCCTTGACATGAGGAAGATAGGGTAAAAGTCAATATATGCCATCAGAAGATATGCTATTCAAACAACCACTTGCACAGTCACAATGTATTCACTACAAATGCCTTATTTACTTTCTATAATGACACTTGTCAGGCATGTTTAGTTTAAACTACGTTGTCGCCAAAACCATACACATGCTGATCTATTCGTTGGTTTCGGACTATATTTCAGCTATGAGACCACACATCCTAATTCTCATGTTGTCGATCACAGGATTAATGGGACAAGCATCATCTTGGTCAGTGAGCTTGGGCCCCGATCAACAAAGCGTTCGTAACATTACGACCCATCGTAACTCTATAGTTTATCATAGGCTTACGAATGTAGTAGTGCTACGAACGCTTTGTGGATCGGGACCCTGATCAACTTCTCCCGTTAGTTGCCTTTTACGACAAGCCGGGATTGGTTCAGACCACTTCTTGCCTAGATCATCACTTAGGCTTTCTCGGTGCGGTGGGGTAGCTCAGTCAGTGAATGACTTTATTGCATTAAAGGGGCCATAGGCCCAGTGCATTGTACAATACATGTTGATGGAGCGCCGCACAGTCGGCAGGTGTTATAATAATGAGTTGGTGACAGAAACGATTTACGTTTTTCCATTGCAAGGAATTCATACTTCCCTAGACATTCAATGATACATACATTATCTGATGTTAAAAGTAAATATATAGCTTATGTTCTGATGGAAATTGCCAATGATACCATGGTAATAATGATTGTCTTAATTCGTTATAAAATGGGCACTGTAGAACAAAATGTCATTCTGTTTCCGCCCAATTTCGATCATTAAGCAGTGATTTGAACATCTGAGAAAACAAAGTGCAGAGCGGTGGTGGTTAAACCATTTGCTCGTCACACCGAAGACCAGGGTTTGGTTCCCCACATGGGTACAATGTGTGGAGCCCATTTCTGGTGTCCCCTGTCGTGATATTGCTGGAATATTGCTAATGGAGCCGTAAAACCAAACTCACTCACTTGAAAGAAAAAAGATTTGAATAAACAGTTGTATCAAATCGCACGGTGTATTCCACGTGGGCAGGGATGGTGGAAAAACCCACTTGTCACGTCAAAGGTCCGTGTTCGATTCCACACATGAGGACATTCCATTCCGCCAATTTGTGGTGCCCTTTGTCGTAATATTGATGGAATATATTGATGGAATATTGCTAACAGCGACGTCAAACCATACTCACTTCTTGGTGTCAGATTTCAAAATGGCCGACTTTTCAACTGTCTTGTATTTCATCAAGAATACAAATTCCAACGTCATTGTGTTTGAGTTGTACAAGAGACGGGTGTGAAGACACTGATATGGAACAGGCTTTGAAAGTGGCAATTACACACTCACATGGCCTTATAATGGCAAGAAGTTCTGCATGAATTTCAGAATATTTTAACGAGCGTTTGCATCACTATTCTAGTGCGAGGTCATCATTATCTCGACATTGAACAAATAAGCCATGATTTGATTTGATTTGACTTTGGATTGAAATCACGTGATGGTCCTTCGTGTTTTGTGAATGTTCTAGTGAGTGAGGAGTGACAATGTCTAATGCTCTTTGAACAGTACTTCAGTGTTTTGAGAATGTTCTAGTGAGTGAGGGAGTGACAGTGTCTAACACTCTTTGAACAGTACTTCAGTGTTTTGAGAATATTCTAGTGAGTGAGGGAGGGACAATGACTAACACTCTTTGAACAGTACTTCAGTGTTTTGAAGAATGTTCTGGTGAGTGAGGGAGTGACAATGGCTAACACTCTTTGAACAGTACTTCAGTGTTTTGAGAATGTTCTAGTGAGTGAGGGAGTGACAATGTCTAACTCTCTGAACAGTACTTCAGTGTTTTGAGAATGTTCTAGTGAGTGAGAGGGAGGGACAGTGTCTAACACTCTTTGAACAGTACTTCAGTGTTTTGAGAATGTTCTTGTGAGTGAGGGAGAGGCAATGTCTAACACTCTTTGAACAGTACTTCAGTGTTTTGAGAATGTTCTAGTGAGTGAGGACGTACAAAAATGTCAGCAAAAGGACAAATACGGACCCGTTTCACAATGTGTTGTTAGAACACCAATTCGCGAACATGTATTTAAAGGGGTATTCACACATACGAGTGGTTGTTTACACATTGTTGCATGCTGCGCATTACACAGTGTAAACGTGCATTGCGGGTATATATGATATATGAATATTCTGGGACGTCAGTTAGACGAAATAAGACATGCCTATAACTTGAGTTATAGCCACACGTCACAAGTGAAATTCAGCTAATTCACAATATGTGTTATAATGATTGCGGCATCCAGAGAAAAAAATACTTACTTGACAGAATCATTATGAGGAGACGGTACGTGACGGTTGTAAATAAGATGGCGTGATTGTGTTAGATGACGCTCTCGTTGTGAGTAGGACAGATGGAAGCTGCACTGTTCGAGACGTTTTGGACCAGGATGGTAATCAAGCAGGACGAAGATGTACGGCGATAGTCCACCCGTGATTTAGTATCAATAAGACCCGTGATAAACTTGTTTAAAGCAAACCAAGGCGTGCAAACAATAAAACTAAGACACAGTTTCGTATTTGGATTTGTTATCTCATCAGGGGAGTGTATGCAAGGACGGTGAGTTAATTCGTTATATATGTCCGTTAATAGGGCGCTACTTCCGGTACGAAGCTGGTTTCCGGCTCCCTTTTGCGCATTAACTTGCGATATGCGAGACGGGGCCCAGCTTACTTCCGGTATCAGATTTCAGATGACAAGCGTATATTCAAGCACCAGTTCTGGTTACAAATTGCGCGAGCGCTAAATATTGACTTTACTAGACCGGACCAAATGTACAACTATGCTTGGCTGTCACAGCTGTTGGCAGTCGTAATAGTTGGCTAATTTGTGGATGGTGAGATCAGAAATTTGTTATTCCTGCAAGGATTATCGGTTACTTACTGTAAACTGACAACCATGAGACCATTCCAAAAGGTATAAAACGTTGTTTGTCACGGGAAGTTCTGAGGTCTCGCGAAGTGCCGTGACCTACTTAAGGCAAGGGCCCTATTGAAGCCAAGGAGATGGAAAGGGAGTGTGGAAGTAGTACCATCAGGAAGAAACGAATCACACATGCTCGGCCCTGTATGAACATCCATGAACACATTGTTAAGACCTATTCCACATCTACACTGTCAGTCAGAGATACTGATCTGCAGACGTTGGTGTTCTAAGCTTCCAGGTTTCACTCACAATGCGTCACAGCACCTATGACAAACGAGTTGCGTCACTTACCTACCAGGATCCGCATCTCATAGGGTCGAATCCCAGATCCTTGTGATGATCAGCCTCCATATCATCATCAAGATTAAGCATGTTTCGCCAAAGTGATGTGCGCTTCACTTGAAAGATGTTCACTTCCACCAAACAGGGGCGGTGGGCTAGCCTCATGGTTCAAACGTTTACTCGTCACACCCAAAGACCCGGTTTTAATTCTCCACATGGGTGCAATGTGTGAAGCCCATTTCTGGTGTCCCCAGCCGTGAGATTGCTCAAAAACTTTTATTCAAAACCCACAAAGGTCGATGTTTGTTACGTGCGAAAATACGACAAACCAATCAGAACGCGGTGTAATGATTGCTGTGCTTTGATAAAAATATTCTTAAATCGTTTATTGTATGATGGCATTGTTTAGAAAATAATGAAAAATACATATCGGCATATTGAAAGTACATAGAACGTAGCTAACCGAATTGTGTTCCCTCGTGTGATGTGTTTAATAAGGATAAAGCCATGGACGGTGAGAGATTCAAATACACGCACGTGTGGTTGTTTACATAACGGCTCTCCTATTTCCAATTGAGTCTTTTCACGTGCGAATTGCGGGAATGTTTTGGAGATTCTACGTGCGCTTCCGACATTTTTAGTTAATTTAATTATTCAAATCCATAAGTTGTAAAACAAAATATTTTTTTATGACTAATCAACTTTAAACTCAATCACTGGGCTTACATTTCACTTAAGTGGGCACATTTTAGCTTCTTGGTCCCTTCATATGTTGTCAGCGTATTCATTATAAATTCCACCTGGGGTATGGCAGCAAGGTTACATGCAAGTTCAGACAACTGGTTGACACCGCGTACACTAATTCATGATAACACTCTCAACAAATTCTCCAGTTTGAGATATATGTTAAAGTTATTTTTGTGTATTTATTTTCTCTTATTACAGCTAAATGTTATTTTAATTGCCTATTCAGGAAGAAAAAGAACATGTGCGATTCATAAGCCGTATTTGGGAATATATAGTGAACGGCTGGTAATAATTACATAAGAACGTGTATTCAACAAATCATCACTATCATTATTTATTTAACAGGTTAAAATCTTCTGTAATGTTTATCACTGTTGGAATTGAGTTGTCGTTCTTGATTAAAGTAGTTCTGAAGTTCATACGCCAATATGAAATCCTTCCATAGGGACACGACATTCGTAAATATACTTGAAGTGTCTGGGGAAAAAATATGCAAGCCGAAATGAAAATTATTTCAACTAACTATTTTGACTCAATTTCTTCTCCATTCGTGACCAACTCGTGTTATTCCGGGACAAGCCGAATAGCGACCCGTGCCCCTCTGGGAGGATTTCATATTGGTTTAGGAACATCAGAACTACTTCAAACAGGAACGATAACTCTATTCCTGTTTGATTCCAGTGGTACATATAACCAAAGTACTCATACATTGTATTGCTGTTTTTGTTTTTCCTTGAATATTTTAAAGAATTAAACTTGATACAACTAAAAGAAGGTGAAAATAATATTCTGACGTAATTATGACCAGTTGATCACCTCCAATTATATTTCTGAAAAGTGTTTGATAATAACAAATGGGATTTGTTTTATTGAATATGCAAAATAAAAAACCAAAAAAAACTCAGCTACATTAAATCCCAAAGCAGAAACTCATAAAGTGACTTTAAAGTATTTCTCAAGCTGAACATATATGTAACCTTGCTGTCATACCCCAAGTGGGATTTGAAATGAATACGCTGAAAAATAGACTAAAGTATTCCCAGCGAATTGAAATATATGGCCGGTGTTAAAGATTAAAGATTAGTTACATACAGATGTAATATTGTTTTGAAACTCGTAGCGATATATAATTACATTTCCTAAAACTGTTGGAAGCTCACGTACAATCGCCACGACAAGCCCGCAAGATCGTCAGAAATACTCTCCAGTTGGACCAGTGAGAGCCGTTATGTCAACAAACGCGCACGTGCGTGTATTTGAATCTCTCACCGTCAATCGCATGATTCTTATTAAAAACTTCACATTAGACAGCGCAATTCTGTTAGCTACGCTCTCAGTATTTTCAATATGACAATATATATTTTTCATGACTTTTTAAACAATAACATAATGCCATAAATGATTTAAGTAGTCGGGATTATTTTTATCAAAGCACGGCAGTCATTACGCGCTCTGATTGGTTTGTCGTATTTTCGCACATAACAAGCCTCGTTAGGAGGACGAGTCTTCTTGGAGGTTACGGAAAGGGGCGAGTGGTGACGAATGCCGGATGGCATAAAAAGGCGAGTAGTTACGAATGTTTCTTCTCTACATACGCGCATTTTGATTGGCTGGGGAATATTTATCCTGGACATGGCTACGAGAGATGTACGAGGGTCTTTCAGGTTACGGAAAGCGCGCGAGTAGCAACGAATGAGGGCACGAGTCGCTATTCGGCGTGTCGCAGAAAACACGAATGGTGGTCACGTGACGATCCTCTTTAAACAGTCTCTAGGGCCAGCAGACACGATGTCGGACACTGCTTTGACTGAAGCATCGATATTTTTTCAAGATATCATCAACCAGATTTACGTACATATCTTCACCACGTGGAGTATTTGGGCGAAATGCCAACCTCCCCAGCTGGCTTCAAAACAATCGTCTGCTCGCCTGAAATGGGAGTACTCTCCCTTACAATACGTTCCATTTTAAGGCGCTTCAGACGATCCCTCATAACTTCAGACAACAAGGTCCTTCACTTCTTATAATCCTCTTATGATCCTCATGATCCACGATGTATTTCAATGGCTTTCATCGTCAGTGGTGTGGACAAGAATCAGCCGTTATTATAACTTCTAAATTATCAATAAAATGTGTTTGGTAGGACTTGTTTTGCAATGACGTTTTGTTTTGTTTTGTTTTCAATTTAAGGCCAGTTTAGTTCTTGACGTTCGTCTATAAATGAGAATTTGTTCATTTCAGAGGTGAATGTTTGTATACTAGTACAAAAAATAGTATGCAAGAAGATAGATTACCTAAAACGTCATATGACATGCTTGTTCATTTGGACAACATTGGTAAAGTGACGTGGGCATCTCATAAAGAAAACTTCTGTTTTCACATATGGTTATGGTGTTGTATGGTTAAGCCAGTCAGTTGGTGATGCAAGCTTGTTTTTAGCTCAGTGAAAGAAATCGTAATATGTTTAATCAAGAATGACATTCAGTAATAGATGATAGCTCCCGGAATGACTCTTATAGAATATACAAATCATTACTCCAACGAGAGAAATATCTATCGTTTTTAACATCAAAGAAATTAAGATATCCATTTATAGGCTTGATTAACATAATAGTAAACGAAGAAGGGTGTTTATATTGAAAGATGCAAGAGAATGTGCCCTCTGTGTAATTTAGATTCATATTTTACTTGTATGTCCTCTTTATAAAGATTTGTGTACGAAATATACAGCTGAATATTATCTATGTATCTATGTGATAAATTACATGTACTTGTTTTACTGTCCTTAGTGGCAGGTGATTTATAATTTACCTTTAATTACCATTACATTATAACTTGATATTGTCACGATATGGCTGAAATACTGCCGATGTGACATAAAATTTTAACTCACTCACTCACACTGAAATTAGTCGTTCGTCTGCGCACCAGAAATGGGAGTATTTCCATTTTAAGGCGCTTCAAGTGGCTTAAACCTGACTATATGGTTATTAAAAGCAATATTTCAACAGTAAAATATATTCATGAAAGGTCCTTTTTTTTTTAATCACTAGATCATCTCAGTCACAAGGGACCAGAGCCACTGAAGTCCACATTGGAACACGTTTCATGTACGTGACCACCACGTGACACAATCCAACATGACAGCCACTGAAATACTATTTAAAATATTTCTATGTTATTATGTGCCAAATGCCAATTTATTTAAGCAAAGAATACCGGTATTCACACCTCCATTGTTGTCTATGAATTATTTATTAACATGATACAAAAATGATTTGTTCGAATAAAATAACATTCAAAT